ACTTTAACATATTTTACAGAGCAATTGATACAATAACTAGACAAAAGTATCAAAGATATAGATGATCTGTAGATCAATCATCTTTACCTAACTGATTTTTAAAATTAATTATTTTTATTTAGACATTATTTTTTTAGAGAAGTTTAGGGTTTACAGAAAAATTGAGAGACCCACAGATTTCCACATATCTTCTGCCTCCATACATACACAGCCTCTCCATCATCAATATCCCCAACCAGAGTGGTACATTTGTTACAATTGATGAACCTACACATCACTAAAAATCCATAGTTTACATTATGGTTCACTCTTGCTGTTGTACATTCTGTGAATTTGGATAAATGTATAATAATATGTATCCATCGTTAGGTATCAAACAGAGTATTCTCACTGTCTTAGAAATTCTCTGTGTTTTGTGTATTCATCTTCCCCTAGCTCCAACCTTCCACCCTTTGGCAATCACTGATCCTTTCAGTTTCCATAGTTTTGTCTTTTCCAGGTCACATAGTTGGAGTTGTATAGTATGTAATCTTTTTAGATTGGCTTCTTTCACTTAGTAATGTACATGTGAAGTTCCTCTATGTCATTTCAGTTTTTCATAGGTCATTTCTTTTTAGTACTAATAATATTCCACAGTTTATTCACTCAAGGACATCTTGGTGTTTCCACATTTTAGCTTCAAGATTCTCTCCCTCTGCCCCTCCCCCCTCAAATAAATGAATAAATCTTAAAAAAAAAAAAGCTCAGGAAGGAAGAACAAAGCAAACTAAACAAATTAGAAGGAAAGAAAGATCAGAACAAAAATCAATTAAATAAAACATATTAACCAATAGAGGAAATTAAGAGAACTGGAAGCTTATTTGTTGAAAAGTTCAACATAACTGATAAACTCTGAGTTAGTTTGATTAAAAAAAAGAACACAAGTTACTAATATCATGATTGAAAGAAGGGTTATCACTATAATTCCTACATATATTAAAAAGACCATAAGAGCAACTTGATTATGAAAAACTTGATTCCAACAAAAAGTAATTTTGATGAATTGAGCAATTTTGAAAAATACAACTTAACCAAATTGACCCAAGATGGAACAGAAAATCTGAATAGCTCTATAACCACCAAAAATCTCACAGAGAAAACTTCAGGCCCGATGATGGCACTTTTTTTTTTTTTTTTTTTTTTTAAGGAAGATAGAAGACAAGTGAACACTTTACAACTCTCTTTTGTCTTCAAGCTGGGCTGCTGGGTCTTGCCGGGAATGGTGACAGGAGTAATGTGAAGATGCACTTCAGTGTATCTTTTCTTTGTAAAGATATTTTTATGCAAGGAGAGTTGTGCTAAGTAATATTTCTGTGAGGATATGAGTGCTGAAAACTCCTATTCCACCATCTTGTTGATGTCACTCTTAAAGTTGTTTTAACATAGAAAATCAATATTTTGCCATATTAATAGAATAAAGGAGAAAACCATATGATCATTTTAATACATGGAGGAAAATATGACAAAATTCAACATCCATTCACAAGAACAATTATCACCAAACAAGATAAGGTACTTTTTCAACTTATAAAGAACATCTATGAAAAACCTCCAGTTAACATACATTCATGTTGAAATATTAAATGATTTTCTACCAGAATAAAGAATAAGGCTTGATTTTGTCACGTTTACTCAACATTGAATTGGAGGTCCTAGCCACTGCAATAGAGAAAGAAAAAGAAATGAAATGATAAAGATTGGAAAAGAGGAAACAAAATTGTCCTCATTTTCAGTGTGAAATAATAGGAAAAAATATATATTGGTTTCTGTCCCCAATTCCTGGCACAGAGCTTCTAAAACCCTTGCAATTTCCTGAATGGTATTAGAACTAAGAGCATCTTTGGTTCTAATATTTGGTCTTTGAATCTGGTTCCTGACATAGGGCTCTTAAAACCCTCATAATTTCCTGAGTGATAGGAATGTTTTTTGTTCTAATGAGGTGACTCTGGCTGGGCTCCATGATAAGGACTGACCACAGGAAATAATCAAGCCATGTTTGGAAACTTAAAATTTTCAGCCATTCCCAACCCCATGCCCATTCACTTGAGAAAGAAGGAGGACTAAAAATAGAATTAATGATTGTTCAAACCTAGATGAGGAATTCTCCATAAAAATTTCCAAAATATGGGATTCAGAGAGCTTCCAGGGTGAATATATCTGCATACCAGGATAGTAATCCAGCCCAACTACATGGGCACAAAAGTTCTGTACTTGGCACCTTCCCATACCTCACCTTAAGTACCTCTTTACCGGGCTGTTCATCTATATCCCTATCACATCCTTCAATAAACTGGTTAACCTAAGTAAGTGTTTCCCTGAGTTCTGTGAGCCACTCCAGCAAATTACTAGAATCCAAAGGGGGAAGAGGTCATGGAAACCATGATCTGTAGCAAGTTAGGCAGAACTGCAGGCAACCTGGGGACCTACTAGGGTTTGCAATTGGCATCTTGAAGTAGGGGGCAGTTTTGTGGGACTGAGCCCTAAACCTGCAGTATCTGATGCTATCTCCAGGTAGACAGTGTCAGAATTGAGTTAAAATGTAGGAAACCCTGCTGGTATCACAGAATTGCTTGTTGTGGGGAAAACCATCATGTGGTGTTGAAAGCTTTGTGAGGGTGGTAGTGTGAGAGTAAAGGAGACACACAAGAGGAGGACTGGGTTTTTCTTAAACAGCAACTAATATAATTGTTTACACAGAAAACCCTGCAGATCTGTAAAACAATTAGAAGTAATAAGTGAATATTCAAAGTCATAGTATATAAAGCTAAAATGTACAAAATCAATTCTATTATGCTCTAACAGGAAAAAAAATTGTGAAATGAAATGGAAAAGCAATTCTGTTTATAATAGGTCCCCAAATCAGATTATTTAGAAATAAATGTAAACAGGTGTACACTGAAAACCACAGGACGTAGCAGAGAAATTTTAAAAGATTTAAATGAGAGGAAAGATATGTTATCTTCATGGATTGGAACACTCAATTTTAAGATATCAATTCTTCTGAAATTATACATTTAATTCAATTTTACGCAGTCTCTCTGCTTCTCGGCAGTTGCTGTTGTTCTGGGCTTTTTGCTTAATTTGCAGTACTCAAATTTATTGCCATGTCTTCTGAAGAAGGGAAGCTTTTCATGGGAGGGCTGAACTTCAACACCAATGAGCAGGCTCTGGAAGACCACTTGAGCAGCTTTGGTCCTATCTCTGAGGTGGTTGTTGTCAAGGACCGGGAGACTCAGCGATCCCGGGGTTTTGGTTTCATCACCTTCAGCAATCCAGAGTATGCCTCAGATACCATGAGAGCCATGAATGGAGAGTCTCTGGATGGTCGCCAGATCTGTGTGGATCACGTGGGCAAGTCAGCCAGGGGAACTAGAGGAGGTGCCTTTGGGGCCCATGGGCGTGGTCGCAGCTACTCTATAGGTGGGGGGACCAGGGCTATGGGAGTGGTAGATATGACAGTTGATCTGGAGGATATGGATGTGGATATGGAAGGTCCAGAGACTATGGTGGCAGAAACCAGGGTGGTTATGACCGCTACTCAGGAGGAAATTACAGAGACAATTATGACAACTGAGATGAGGCATGTGCACCTAAAGTAGGTACACAAGAAATAAAACTTCTGATCCAGGATCATCCTTCCAAATAGCTGTATTTATAAAGATTTTTGGAGCTGCACTGACACATCTGTTCTAGTACATCAAGTTCTATTTTTTAACTGAGCTCCCAAGGTAGCTTGTTACAGAGACCTTTTAGAAAGCTCCATGTGATTTCTAAAATTTTCTCCCATTTAAATACTAATCCTGGGACATTGCAAATGCTGGGTATTTTTCCTCTTACCAGTTTTTTAGTTTGAGCTCTCAGGATTACGGATTGTGACCAAAAAATGTTGGCTTAGACTGCTTTAAAAACAAATAATGTGTGTTTAGGGACATTTAAAAGCCTATCTACAATGTTTATCATGATTAGGAAGCAGGAAGCAATTTCCAAATGCAAATACAAGAAATCATTGACATGATTAGAGGTGGTTTTTCTTTTTTTAATTCAAGGTTACCACCCTGAGTATAGAGAAGTTTCTTAAAAATATTTGTGAATGTATTTTTTAGTACTGGAAGAAAAAATATTCTGTTGTGTCTCATTTAGCATTTTAAGATGTCCTTCACGGAGCTGATTAAAAAGTGGAAACATGAAAAAAAAATTCAATCTCAATAAAAATCCCTAGAAGTTTACATACTGATTTTAAAATTTATGTGGATACAAAGGACTTTGAATTGCCCAAATAATTTTTAAAAAGAAGAATAAAGTTGCAGGACTTACTATAAAGTTCCAATAATCAAGACTATAGTATAAACAATCTAAACAAAAGGATAGATATATTAATAAATCAGCAAAACATCAGAGAGTACAAAAGTATCTCTACACCTGTATAGTGATTTTTTTTTTTATAAAGGCACAAGGCAATTCAATGGGGGAAAGGAAGTATTTGAAAGTTCCTAAGAGTGTAGATCTTAAAAGTTCTCATAACAAAAAAATTTTGTGATTATATGTGGTGATGGATGTTAATATAATGGTGGAAATAATTTCACAATATATGCAAATAGTGAATCATTATGTTATGTACCTGAAACTAATATAATGTTATATGCCAATAAAAAAGTGGTCTTTCGGGATCCCTGGGTGGCACAGCGGTTTGGTGCCTGCCTTTGGCCCAGGGCGCGATCCTGGAGACCCGGGATCGAATCCCACGTCGGGCTCCTGGTGCATGGAGCCTGCTTCTCCCTCTGCCTCTCCCTCCCTCTGTCTCTGCCTCTCTCTCTCTGTGTGACTATCATAAAAAAAAAAAAAAGTGATCTTTCCATATGGGGAAAAATGCATTGACTCTTACCTCATGTCACACACAGTAATTAATGTGTAAACGGTCATAAACCTAAATGTTAAATCTCAAACTACAAAACTTCTTGCAGAAAAAAGGAACAAAATTTTGTGACACTGGATACGGAAAAGATTTGTGAAACAGAAGATGAAAAGCACAAAGGAAAGACGAATTAGAATGGATTTCATTAAAATGAAAAGCATTTGCTCCCCAAAAGACATAGGTAAGAAAACAAAACCAAAAGAAAGGCCATGGATTGGGAGAAAATATTTGCAAAACACGTATCTGTCAAAGGGTTTATATCTAGATTATGTAAAATACTCTTAGAATTTAATTCCTAAAAGAAAGACAGCACAGTGTTTTTTTTTGTTGTTGTTGTTGTTTTTTTTTAATGGGCATGGGGGCACCTGGGTGGTTCAGTCATTTAAGCGTCTGCCTTTAGCTCATGTCATGATCCCAGGGTCCTGGGATCCAGCCCCATGTCAGGCTTCCCGCTCAGTGTGGAGCCTGCTTCTCCCTCTCCTTCTGCCTGCCACTCCCCCTGCTTGTGCTCTCTTTCTGTGTCAAATAAGTAAAAATCTTTTTAAAAAATGGGCATAGGATTGGATATTTCACAAATGACCAATGGATACATGAAAAGATGCTCAACATCTCCAGCCAGTGGAAGATGCAAATTAAAACCACAGTGAGATACTACTATAACTACTACTACTATTACCCTACTACCCACTGGGATGAATTAAACCAAAAAAATCTGACAATACCAAGTAGTATCAACAATGTGTTCCATATTTTGACAGTGGTGATGTTTTCATGAATTTATATATAAGCAAAATTAATCAAAGTGTTCATTTTTAATGGATATAGCTTATTGTAAAGTTGTATTTTAATGAAGTTGACTTAAAAAATATAAGCATATAAGAATAACAATTTATTATCCCAGTGGACCAAGATACAAAGATGCTTGTGCACTTGCTAAAGTAGAAAGTGTAGCTGGGATCAGACTTTAGTTCTCAACCCAACTATTTTCTCTTCCAATTAGTTCATGCTCCTGAACATAGAATACAGGATTGAAGGAAGGAAGAAGCAAGAAGGGAAGCAAGTGTCCTAAGAATGGATCGGCTGTAATCCAGATCCTTAGTCTTGTTTTAATCAGTGATGTCAAAACACTTCCCCTACTGAAGACATGCCTTGCTTTTAACTTAAATTTTTTTCATTTTTTAAAAAAATAGCTTCCTCATCTTTTCTTTCTCTTCCCTAATCATAACGGTCAATTTGAATTGTATAGACATATATGGAAACAGAATCCAAGTGACTTACACTATGTACCATGAATAAAGAACTTTGGACACAGCTCTTCCTGCCAGTTTATGAGTGAGTGCTCTTCGGAACCTGTTTCAACCATGTAGATGGGTTAGAAGAAGTACATAAACAATTTAGAGATTGGGGTGCCTGGGTGGCTCAGTGGTTGAGCATCTGCCTTTGGCTCAGGGCATGATCTTGGGGCCCTGGGATTGAGTCCTGCATCAGACTTCCTGTGGGGAGCCTGCTTCTCCCTCTGCCTATGTCCCTGCCTCTGTCTCTCTGTCTCTCATGAATAAATAAATAAAATCTTTTTTTAAAAAAAGAAAATGCAGAGAATGTGTTGAGTTAATGCCTTTAAGAATTAACATTGTAAATTTGTCAAATTTCTTTACAGCTTGTTATTTTTAACATTTTAATATCCTATTATTTTACATGTACTTTTCTCTATGTTTTTCTTGGGCTTAAAAACAGGTTCATTGAAATTTGATATTTTTTTCTCTAAGACATTTATCATCTTGAAATTACTGATATACTAAGCTGTGTCACATTGTATTTGATGTTAGTGTGCAGATTCCACTGTGAGAAAAAAATGGAAGAGAATTCAATGGAGGACCACTTACTTAAATATGAGTTCACTAGCCTTTGTTATCTAACAAGTGAAATCATGTCATCTTTCAGGATTTCCCATACAGAACTCTGTACATTAAGGGCTTGAACTGCCTAGGTTGCACTTCAGAAAAGCTCCTGTGTTCAAAGAGCAAAAATATCACATTGAGAAATTCAAAAAATTTTCTTTGTGAATCTGAATTTATACAGCATACTTTACTTGAGTTTATGGGAAACAATGTAACAAATGAGTTCCTGGAAAATAACCAAAATTTTATGTTCCAGAGAAAGCTGGCATTTATTGAACACCAGCAGTGCTTGGGGTCCTATAAAATACTTTGTGCGTACTGTTATCACTACTTTGCAGATGGGAAAATGCAGGCACAAAGAGAGATGATGATAAGTTTCAAGATTTTAATCTGGCCGCCAGTCTGTGGAGCCTGCACCCTCTCACCCTTTGTCATACTTGCAGGAGCAGGTCTCCACTCTTTCCTGCGCATACCCTGTTCCTTCCCACCCTCATTCATTTTGTTTGTCCTCCCGGAGAGCCCAGCCTCCCCTCCTCATTGGTCACATCCTGTCCACCCTTCATTGTCTGGGCACTTAGACCTTCTGTATTGTAGCAGCAGCTACTCTGCCTAATTTCCTATTGACCAAACATAATTGCTCCCTTAACGCTCGGGGAATAACCTCAGAAGTGGCTGTCCTGCCTCACATCGCTCTTCCTCCAAACCGTCCTATGTAATACCCCCCCCCCTTTTTTTAAAGATTTGATTTATTTATTCATGAGAGACACACAGAAAGAGGCAGAGACCTAGGCAGAGGGAGAAACAGGCTCCTGTGGGAGCCTGATGCAGGACTCAATCCCAGGACCCTGGATCACAACCATCACAATGTGAGTCAAAGGCAGATGCTCAACCACTGAGCCACCCAGGTGCCCCTTCTGTAATCTTCTTAAATACACATTCTTAAAGCCTTGGGCAGCCCCCACTGTTACTTTGAATCCTAGTTTGGAGAATGTTCAAGGCCCTCCAAAATCTTTGACCCACTTTCCAGCTCTATCCAGATATGGAGATGTCAACCCCAGACAGGTATTTCTCAGGTCATTTTCAATGTGGTTGGCATATGATAAATACTTAATGTGAGTTATCATTGTTTTATATTTAATATTTAAATATAATAGTCATATAATTCAAACACAAAAATATAGAAATGTATAGTTGAAATATTTTCTACTGATTCTTGGTCCCATTATCCGACTTCCCATTCCCCATCCCCACACATTAAACTAGAATTAATTTCTTTTTTTAAGATAAATGATAGCATACTATACACATTGACCTACATGTTGTTTTTTTCTACTTAATATATTTTGGACACTTTTTTGTATCAGTGAGCTTGCCCATTTCTTTTTTACAGCTGCATAGACAATTTTATGGCTACATGTACATGTCATAATTTAATTAACCATAGTTTATTCCCTGCTACGCATTTATATCATTTTCAGTCTTTTACTGCAAATATCCTCATACACACTGTATGCATGAAAACTTATTTGTAAAGTACATTCCTAGAGGGAGAAGTAGAAGAATGATTTAGGCATTTGTAATTTTAAAGATACTGGTAGAATATATATTTTGGCATAGGGGACATATTGATTTCTACTTCCAACAGAAACAAATCAATAGTTTCCCCACAGCCTTGCCAACACTGGTATTAAATTTTTCATTTTTGCCTATCGATGGGAGAAATGGTGTTTTAGTGGAGTTTTAGTTTGCCTTTTAAAAAATGAGTGGGTTTGAGCATTTTTCAAATGTGTAAGAGCCATTTGTTTTTTATTTTCTGTTTATAACCTTTACACATTTTAGAATTGTTCTGCGTTTTCCCTTATCAAATTATAGATATTGTATATGTTACAGAAATTAGCCCTTTTTTTGTTACATGAGATGCAGACGTTTTCCCCAAGTTTGTCATTTGTCTCTTGTTTGTGGTGTTTTTATTCTTGCAGGTGTTTTTGATGTTAACCTTGTTAACTTGTCATTTTCTTTCATGCTGTCAGGACTTTAAGTCATGTTATAAATGCCTTTCCCTGTCTGAGATGATAGAAATTTTCCCTTATTTCTCCTAGAAGTTTGGTTCTTTCACTTCCTATATTTAAATCTTTGAGCCATCTAGAATTTATTCTGGCGTGTATTATGAGATGACATTCCCCTTTTTCCCAGATGGCTGCTGATTTGTACTGACACCATTTATTAAATTATCCTTATATTCCCCACTGCTTTGAAATTATGTGCTAAAGTCCTGTATGCACCTGCCTCTATCCTTGGGCTTTCTATTCTGTCTGGTTGGTTGGCTGTCTGTTCTTGTGCCAGGACCACATACTGAGCATAGCTGAAATCAAACAGGGCTGGCTGCACAGATCCTTCTTTCCAGAGTTCTCTTTCCTATCAGCATTAATGATTCATTAGAGGTGGTTTTCAGTGACAACAACAAGAACCAATGACAAACATCCTTTCTCTTGGATTTTTTTTTTTTGTGATCATAGTAAGTTTATAAATTAAGTTAGGAAAACTTGATGATTTTGAATCTTACTCTCTAAGAATGTAGTCCATCCTTCTATTTTTGTTCCATTCTATTTCGTTGCCCTGCAAGAACATTTAAAAATTGTTTTCAAATTGTTTTTGTGCTGTTTTCTTCCTAGATATTTTATCCAGTTGTTGCTCATAGGCTTGGATCCTTTTCTTTCATTATATTTTCTGTTAGTATGTATGGAGACTTTTGGTTTCTGTATATTAATTTCATAGTTTGCTAGCTTAATGCGTTTTCTTATTTCTAGTGATTTTTGTTTTTAATTGATTCTCTTGATTTTCCAAATAATCATATAATCTACAAATAGGAAAACCTTGCCTCCTCTTTTACAATATTCCTCTGGTTTCTTTCTTGCCTGGTTGCTTTATTTTTAAAGATTTATTTATTTTTGAGGGAGAGAGCAAGAGAGAGCATGAGTGTAGTGGGGAGGGGCAGAGGGAGAGAGAATCTTCACTCATACTTCCTACTGAGCCGAGGACTCCATATCAGGCTTGATCTCAATACCCTGATAGCAGGACCTGAGCGGAAACCAGGAGTCAGCCACTTAACCAAGTGTGCCACCCAAACACTCCATATCTGGTTGCTTTAGATAGTACCTTCAGAACAGTGTTAGTTAATGGAAATAGTACCAACTTGACTTTTTTCTGGTTTCAGTGGGAGTTTCTAGTGTTTCCTCATTAAGTCCATGCAGCCTTTTGGTTTAAAGTTGACATCTTAAGAAAACATCTTAAGTTCATCAATTTGTATTTCATTAAGAATCTTTTAAAAATTCAGTGCTGGAGATTAATTTTTGACAGGTGATTTTTCATTATCTATGGAGCTGGTTATATTTTCCCCCTAAGTGTCCAAAAGGATGAATTATGTTAATAACTTTCACATTGAATTACACTTGCATTCCTGTTCTAACTCCACTTGGTCTTCATACATTCCATCTACTATATTTTATTTAGGATTTTTTGCATTGATATTCATAAGATTGATCTATAATTTTCTCTGTTTCATGTATAAATACATCTGTTTAGATCCTCTCTTCTGGAGTTAGATTGGTAAATTATATTTTTCTTTTCTTTCCTAAAGATTTATTTATTTGAGAGATTGAAAGAGCACAAGTGGGAGGGAAAGAAGGAGAGGGAGAGAGGGAATCTCAAGCAGACTCCCCGCTGAGCATGGAGCTTGAGGTGGGACTTGATCCAAAGGCCCTGAGATAATGACCTGAGCCGAAATCAAGAGTCAGCACTTAACCGACTAAGCCACCTAGGAGCCTTGGTAAATTATGTTTTTCTAGACATGGATAGTCTCATTCACATTTTCAAATGCACTGGCATGGAGCTCAGTAAAGGAGTCCTTTGATTCTTTTAATTTTCAGTCTCTGTTGTTATGTCCCATCATCATTTCTCTTGTTTTGTATTTTAATGTCTCTTTTGCTGCCTAGATTTGGCAGGAGTGTGTTTTCAGAGAGCCAGCTTTGGTTTTATTTATCAGTTCTGCTCTGAAATTTTATTTATCAGCTTTGGTTTTACTTATCAGGTTTTATCTATCAATTTTGCTCTGAAATGACCAGTTTCAACTTTATAGAAATTCGTTGGATGGTTAAGGAAGGAACTAAGTTTGGGCCCCCAGGATGGGGCTAGGTAAAGGTCGGCCTTGAGTGGTAGGTAGGCGGCAGACTTTAGACTTGTGGAAATGTTATTAAGAAGCCATTGGAGGGATGCCTGGGTGACTCAGTTGGTTAGGCATCTGACTCTTGGTCTCGGCTCAGGTCATCTCATGGGTTGTGGGATCAAGCCCTGAGTCGGGCTCCGTGATCAGTGAGCAGTCTGCCTGAAGATTCTCTTCCTCTACCCCTCTCCCCACTCGCACATGCGCGCGCTCTCTCTCTAAAATAAATAAATCTTTAAAAAAAAAAAGAAGTCATTGGAGAGCTCTGGTTAGGAAAGTAACAAGATGGAAGTGTTGTTTTGAAAAGATGAACATTCACATATTAGCAGTTATCTTACATAGTACTTTGTCTTTTCCAAAACCATTTTGGATAAGAAATGCCTTTTTCAACAACAATAGAAAAAATAAATCATCTATTTCCTTTTAAACAGTGAATGATTTGCTCCAATCACATAAATGAACACCTTCCAGGAACTTCTCATGATTTATTTTTTAAAAGATTTTATTTATTTGAGAGAGAAAGCACAAGCCAGTGGGGGTACAAAGGGAGAGAGAGAAGCAGACTTCCCACTGAGCCCAACTTGGGGCTTGATCTTAGGGCCCCAAGATCACGACTTGAGCTGAAATCAGATGCTTAACTGACTGAACTCCTCATGATTATTTTAAATGTTGTACAGTTGGCTGAAATCTTTTGTTACTTGTTCTGGAATTTCACACTGAAAGCACCTTTAAATTTGAAGTATATCTTAAAATTAATTGGACTGTGAAGCAATTATTCATTTCTACTATAGCACTTTATGTTATTCCTCATTTGGAATGTAGCTTTGCCTTCAAGGCTGTATTATTTCTCTACTAGATTGTGAATTCCTTACATAAATATAGTACATGTTAAGTTTTATGAAGGTCAATTCATGTTTGTTAGTAATTTGTTTTACTTAAAACTACTCATATAATAGAGTTCTCACAATGTGCATATAAATGATTGAAATACTCCAAAATTATTATCTGCCTTGTCTGTGTATTATCCCTAATCATATAAAACATTTTCAGTTGTCTCATTATACTAAATAATCTGTGTTTTATCCTGCTTTCTATTATTAGAGAAACTAAATTAGTATGTGTTATACCATATCCATGATCTCTTTTACTTGATTTTTGTGTCAAGGGCTAATAGTTCCCACTCCTACTGATTTTGTTGAGGAAGGTGATGTGCCTACAAGAAACTATTTCCTAGACTCCTCGGTGGGTAAGAGTAGCCATGGGAATAACTTCTGGCTGTTGGGATGTAGGTTGACGATACTGAGCAGAATGTTCCTGCCTGGAATTTGGAGGTCAAGGCTGGAAGAGGAGGTTCTTGCCAACAGAAATGATGGAAGACCGCAAAGTGTGAATAAGATGAGCTACTCAATTTGCAGGAGGCAGCACAAAATGGAAGTAAGGGGCCTTTGTTCAATAGTTACTAATAACAAGAAATGCCAGTGGCAGAGCATTAACCTCAGTGCTGGGCCCTTCTCAGCATGGGGCTCTATGAGAGCACAGGTCCCATGCCCGTGAAACTGGCTCTTGTGAATGAGTTGAGGGCCCTGAGATGTCCTGGAGCTGCCATGCCAGCCCTGGACTGCCTGTCTTCCCCTACCCCGCTCCTCCTCCTCCTCCTTATTCTTTCTTCTTTCTTCTTTTCTTCTTCAAGATTTCATTTATTTATTTGAGAGACAGAGCGAGCAAGCATAAGCAGGGGGGAGGAGCAGAGGGAGAGGGAGAAAGAGACTCCCTGCTGAACAGGGATCCCAATGTGGGACTTGGTCCCAGGACCCTGAGATCATGACTTGAGCCAAAAGCAGACGTTTAGCCAACTGAACCACCCAGTTGCCCTGCTCTTTGGTAATGGAGAGCACAACCCTCTTCTTGTTTAAGACTCTGTTATCTTGATTTTCTATTACATGCATCCCATAACTGATGTGTTGTGATTACTCTCATTTTACAGATGAAGAAACTGAGGCTCAGACAAGTTTAGTACCTGATCTTGGTAGGCCATTTGGGGTGTGGACTCAGGCCCTGTGAACTGGGTCATGTACCCTTGTGCCAACACAGTGTCTTTCCTTTCCTACAGAGATGGTATCATTCTGCATTTCCTTTTTCTGGCAAGACTTTGCACTCTGCAGGTTTGCTGTCTCCCAGGGGCTCCTTTTTGTAGTCTATAGTAGAGGAGGGCAGCACTTCATCCCACCAATTTTTCCTCCTTCACATTTACTTTGTACTCTGGAGTAGATGAGATGCAGAATCTCAGTCTAGATTTAAAATATGGCCCAAAAAAGTGATTCACTTCTATCTCTAGCAAAATGTTTATAGTTTATTCCTCAGTGGTTCTCCCTTTGCAGATAAAGAGTTAAGATCTTACATAATTCAATTAAAAGAGAAACTCAAAATATGTGAGATCCCATCTGATGTGGGTTTCTGTCTACTTGACCCTTCAAGAGGAAGGGCATGGCGGTCCTTCCAGTGAGATCACAATCAGGAAAATGCAGCTAGAATTTATTGCTTAATAGTGCATTAGGATAAATAGTGTTTATTGCTCTCGGCGTTCTCATCTATGGTCATGGGAAGCACTGTGGCCACTAACTATTATTTCTTTTATTAGCACACAGGCCATGGCTGCCACTTCACCTGCTTGGGGGCCCCATGTAACACAGGTATTGTATTTGCTAGATTCTAAAAGTGATTGCAATTTGGCTGAACTCTAGCATAAGCACCCAACCTTGGTTAACATCCACAAGACAACATTCTGGACCACATCCTGAGTGGTGTTGGGGTGGGGATGGACACAGCACATCTTCACAGGTAATCACAGGGTATCATGTGGGAGGTGGCAGTGGCCATTTCTCTCTCTCTTTATAGGAGAGAAAATTCCCTATCTTTCCTAAGAGGAAGAAATTCTAGTCTGTTCAGTCAGATTCCAGGGCAGTGAATGCTGGGTTTTTACCAGTGGGCACATTGACTGAATGTGCTTTCTCATCTTTCATTCGGGAAGAGGGCCAGGGTCCCTTTTAAACTTGGCTCAGGAAGTAATGCATGGATGCTGGGGAGTCCTAGTGGCTCAGAGGCTAGAGATTGGACATGGATTTAGGTTGAAGACCCTACTTAGCCTTTGACTTCCAAACTGATGTTACCATACACCTTGCATTGGGGTGTCAGGCATATTTGTGATGTGTGGTCCTTAGGAGGTTCATGGAGGATAAGAACTCTGGTGTTCCTGGGTCCTTCACTAGAGCATCATTTTAATATCCAAATCTTACCATAAGCTTGGGCCCTCTGGTTATGGTGAAGTATTATAAATTGTTGGCATCCCACAAAAAAAAATGTTGGCATTATGAAGGTCTCATGAAGTACTATTCTGTGAAACTTGGTGTAAGGGTTGAATTGTGTCCTTCCCCAGCCCCCATTCACTTGTTGTAGTCCTAACTCATAGTATCTCAGAATGTGACTATAGGGAGGTAAAATGGATCATTAGAGCCCTCATCCAATATAACTGGTGGTGTCCCTCAAGAAAGGGAATTTTAGGGATGGATATACATAGAGGGAAGACAATGTAGAGACCCAGAGTGATGCCTGTGTATGAGCAAGGACAGAAGCCTGGAACAGATGCTTCCCTTGCAGCCCTCATAAAGAACCAACTTGTTAATACCTTGATTTCAGTTCTAGCCTCCAGAACTGTGAGACAATACATTTCTATAGATTAAGTTACTTGTTTGTGATATTTTGTTATGGTAGTCCTAGCCAACTGATGGGCTTGGCAACCAGGGCAATCCTAAAAGCCAATGGACTCCATGGAGAGATGTGGGAAGACCACTCAGCAATATTTGAAATAGTCACCATAACTTTTCTTCCGCTATTCAAATACAGCAACATTAATGACATTTGCTTGACTGCAAGAAGCTCATAAATGTTTGCCAGCAACTACTTATATGCAATAGGTCGAAGACTTTCAGACTTCCTTAAAATAAGGAAATCTAGGACAGGTTATCATGATCTGAGTTGGGTCCCACAGAGGTCAGGTCAGTGGTAAAGTAGAATAGATTGGAGGCTTCTAAGTCTTAGTTATTTATTGATGAGAATTCTGACTCTCAATAGGAAGTCGCTATGCTTATTTTAGTCCTGAAATACTTAGAACAGTGGTTGGCACACGGTAGATGCTAAAAATTGTAACAATTACTATTTTGTGTCCAACTCTGGAAAAGGATTGCTTTTTTTGAAGTTAGTGGTCAGAGGGGAGTGTCTACCCCTTGAAATTTGCACACTTTTGGTGTGCTTAATAAACTTTCTAATGACATGAGGTCTGAGCATGCTGCCTTGAAGAATCTGGGTTATATTTTAACTTTGTACCACATTACCAATAAATCTCTTTTGAAAAGAACAATAGGCTTTTGCCATCCAGTGGTTGACCAATGCAAAAATATTTCTTGAACAAATAAAAAACACAGTGTTTTATGAAAGAAGTTGATAAAATAAGGAAAATAGAAGTCTAGTATCTCTAAGGTCCTAGTTAAATATCTTAGTCATTGAACATTAAAGTTCAAATATATGACAAATATTTTACCATTGTGTTTATGAATAAGCAACCTGAACATCATAAAAATTAGGTTTGTAAAGGTACTGAAGAGTTTAATTCATAAAGAAACAAGAAATATTGGCTATATTATCCTGTCTTTGCATACTATTTTTTTTAACCATTTTTAAAGGTTTTATTTGTTTGAGAGAGAAAGAGAGCATGCACGCGTGCATGAGTGGGGGGGATGGGCAGAGGGAGCGGGAGAAGTCCCACTGAGCATGAAGCTTGATGTGGGACTCAGTCCCAGGACCCTGGGATCATGAATGAAGCAATGTATGAGTGCTTTTCTTGGGTTTCTATTAATCAAGGGAGAAAAGGCAACATATCAGTAAAGAATGAACATTTTTTACTTTGAAACAAGGAAGGCAATTTATTGTAGTGAGATTACATTGAAATTCTATATATGATCCCCAATGCATATAAATAATTTCCTCTACACTGTTGGAGAAGACATACTGAGCCACGAAGAAACTCAAAGTGCTATAAATCAGTTAATATTGATGTAATGCATTTTTGCTAATCTATCCAAATTGAAAATGAGATGGTTGAAAGGACATATTTGTTTAAGTATTTTTCATAAATTTTAACGGTGGCCTTTTCAATTACTGGAGTCTGTAATGCTACAAACTCCAAACACTGAAGTCTATTCATTGCAGTCTGCTCCTTTTTCTTACCATGGTAAGTAGTTATCACAAAGCTGCTTATGAACATAAAGTTCTAACAGAGATTTAAACATTTTCCTCTAAATGGGGTTTGTGGAAAATATGAAAAATGGCATGAGATTTGAGGCAACATAAAAGTAGAAGAAAAATTATTTTTGAACACTAACCATAGAAAAGTGCCCAGGAGGCAGAGAACAGCAATGCTGTTGACCACAAGTTCACAAACAAATATACACATACTCATGTAGACATCTTTGCACCTGATACCTTGCCTCTAGTACATTTTATACACTTGCTACATGTTGCACAAATTTAAGCAGGCACAGACACTGCCTGAGTGCCCTTGTGCAGCTGGCCCCCTTGAGGAGGGCTCTACACAACTTCGTGAAAGGAGCTTATTCATGACTTTTTAGAAAACAAATTCTAAAGCAGTTCTTTATACAGTCCTACATTTACAGAGATACCACAAGCCATGTCATGGTGTCTAGTCTGCTTTCCTAAATGTAGGATTCTTTAGCATACTGGAGTTGGTCAGCCTCAAAGACCGGCTGACTACATTGCTGCACTAGGTGGTCCAGCCTACTCTTCTGTTTTGATTCAGATAGAGTTCTTAGGCGGTACAGCTCTGGTCTCCTTGTAACAGTCACTTGTCCTATTGTTTCTGCAGAAGCATGGACAGTCCTGCTCTGTTCCCAACTCTCAGTCCTGGGAGATAGTCTGTGCCCATCAAGTGGCTCTTCACTGCCTATATTTCTTGAATTCCCTCCATGACGAAAAGGTAGGAGAGGTGGTAGTTCAGTGTCCTGGCTGAGCATTCTAGCCCTCATGCTGCCAACTGTTTGGCCCCCACAGGCCGAGAGGTCCAATGCCTGGCACCTAATGGCCTCTTCATAAGATGGCGGACTTCCAGGGCTTCTCTGATCCACTTGCTGGAACACATCCTCGACTGAGAGGGCATAGGATCTGGAGCTAAAGTCTAGAGCAGTTTGGCCCTGGATTTCAGACAAGTTTTCCTGAATGATTCGCCCAGCAAGCTGGCTTTCTTTTTTAAAACCTTTCTTTACTTGGTCTCTGGTAAAGCCTTTGGATTTCACAGACACGCCACTAGGGGTTTTGGTAAGCACTCTTTTGTGAGAGGCAAAGGAGAATGACATGGAGTGTTTTTTGATTTCTCTGTTGGGCTTACTTTTCTCTGTCTTTGTGAAAGACTGATGTCTTGCGAAGAAATTTCTTTTAGGACTGGAAGGAGAAGCCATGGGTGAGCTGTCAGAGGAAGCATCCAGAGAGCCACTGGAGGTGGCTTTGGGCATTAGACCCCATAGTGACACCAAACCCTGAGTTGAGTTCTTCACCTTCAGGTCCTGTGGCCTTTGGATTTTGCCTTCAACTGCAGGAAACACCTCCTCTGGAAATGGGTCTTCAGCCTCCTCACTTTCCAAATGAGCCCCTGCTTGAGCCATGGTGAAGTCATCCTCACTCCGTGTTAGTTTTTGGTGTGTTTTCTGGCTCTCCAGGCTCTCTTGTGAGGAAGACATGCTGGGCTCTGAGTAGCTCCTGTCTGGTTCACTGAGGGAGTTTTTCAGCCCGGCTATGGTGCTGACAATGGGCTCCGGGCTCAACTCCCAAGCAAGCTGTGGGCCTCTGGACTCCCAGCTGGCAGCTGTCTCCAAGGGCACCTGGGGCCTCCTGTTTGGGGAGCCGGTGGCACCGCTGGATTCCACGTCAGGATCATTGCTGTCATAGGCTGAGTCATTCTGCAGCATTGACAGGTCTAGAGGAAGTGAAGGGATAGTTGAGTTTCTAATTCAGTTTCTTTGAAAAATAAACTATATATAGTACAATTCACCCCACTTGTATCAAGTATAGTGCTAGGGACTCTGGTGAAGCTACTCTGGGACTTGATGTGAAAGAAATTTGTCACATTAAAATTTTGTTTCTTTCTTAGTTTGAGAGAAGGTGTGGAAGAGAAGTAGGAAAAGGAAACATGAGTGAGAGAATGAGAACGAGAAAAGAGAACAATGTTTCACTAAACATATATTGATCTTAAATTTAAAAATTAATCTTTCGGATGGCTCTTTTGTTGGATCCATTCCGTTATAATGGACCCATATCCCACTGTGTGGAAACAACCCTCTAACTAAAGCTAACTTAGTGAAATTGGCAGTTCTTCCTGATTCAGAAGGAAGCTGAATGAGTGTCAGCAGAATGAGGAGACTGTGGGAAAATTTGAGAGCAAGTTTCCATGTTAATGGTGTCCTGTGGATTAGGTTTGGTGACTTGTGCAGGTGACTTCTGCTTCAAAAACCAGAGATACTTTATATTACTGGCATGGACTGGCAGACTGGCATGAACTTCCCCCCATGATCATAATTAATCGAGAGCACAGTTTGTACCTGAACTGTCGGTGTGTTCCAGAGAGTCATCAGAAGCAGTACTGGGGTGTGTGGGAATGTTCTCCCCAAATATTTCCAAGCAGTTATCAATAAGGAACTCCACCAGTGACTTAACCTGTGAAGAAGAATAAGCAAGTCATCAGCCTAAAGGCATTTTGAGTTTTCTTTAAAGGAAGAGGGAAGAGAATGGGTATATAATGAGGGTCTGCTGTTAGGGATGTGCCAAACGAGAGATCTTTATGTGTTTGGAAACGGTATACAGAAAATGGGTAAAAGTCCTATATATTAAAGTTATTTTTGAGACATGCATTTTTAGAGAACTAAAAAAAAAAAAAGACCTCTAAAGTAACTAAAATTTTCATGTAAATAAGCAGTTTCCCAAACTACTGACAGAGTGCAATGCATAAATGAAAACAAAAACAAAAACAAAAACACAACAAAACCCAACCCAACCAAAGGGCTTTTCTATAAATTGGGAATTTCTCAGAAGTAGACTGGAACAAACCTTGTTGTTCAAGTCTTTCTGGACTTCGAAAGACAGGTGTTGGTCATTCTCTCGGGTCAGCATGTTGGGTCCAATGCAGATAGCTAGATTGCTGGCATCCATCTTATTGATCTCGGAGTTTTTGCTGATCAGATAGAGCACGGAGATTAAGTGCTTGAGCAGCAGGAGGTTGGGCCGTGGGAGCTTCTCTGCAACCCTGGAATGAGGTTCAGGGAAGCTGATTTTAGAGGAGGTTAATGGTTTTAGTGGAGCAAGTTGAAAATTTCTGCCTAACGCAGACTGCCTTCAAAATGAGGAAGGTACATTCTTATTGGTAAGATGGTGAAACGTTCATTCAGACACTTCCAGTGGCAATTGATGTGGAATGAAATTGGTTAACCATGAGATCTTAAAGACCTAAGACACTGGTCTTTATAATTAGGACAACAATACAGGGCCTGTTGTTTGTATAGATCTTAAATTAGGAATCCTTAACTTCTGTAACAAACTCCTTTGTGGAATGCATTTTGAAAACTGTTTTGTAGAGTAACTCGTGTAGGCACACAGAATGTCTTTCTAAAATTGCAAGACTGATATTTTGGGAGCACAATCATTTGCCTTTCTTGATCTGTGATCATCCCACAAAAATGACCCATTTTTATACCATTCTGTGAAATCTTTATGGAGAAGAAATCAGTTTCTAGGGGCATGTTCATAAATATGGTCAAGTCAGCACTTGATCAGGAACATTGGTACTAATGATAAAAAAAAAAGAGATGTGTGAAGCCTCACTTTTTCAAAATATGCAATGGTGATCTAATGTAGTGGCCGTTTTCACTTCTCATAAGAAGTTGGTATTATGAAAGAACTTTATGTCTTTAAGAAGAAACTTGCAGTAATCTTAGGATTTTCAATTTGGGACAGATACTCTAATGCCTTAATTCAATAACCTGTTCATTGTAAGTATTTAGCCATGTAGAACAATCCTAATAGATTTGCATCCAGCAAAAATGCTGATATGTTGAAGTCAGGTGTTTGAGATTGTCTAGTTGCTGAAAGGTTGCAGGTCATTTACAAATGTAATTGGTTTTTGTTGTCTTTGGAATTTGTTTTTATATAGTTTTCATTTTGATTAATTTTTTTTTCATTTTGATTAATTTTAAGACATGAAATATGCTGTGGAATTTTATGATGAAAACCATCCTTTCCAGATTGTTCCACGGTGCTTTAAGGGGTGTTTTATGAGGGAGTTTTTGCCTTGCAGAACACACATCTATTAGGTTAACCTCAAATTCCTACACTTGGCAATTTAGCCTGTTTTGAGGCTTTCATCTATGGTTTTTGTCTCATATCTTCTTGAACTACTTATGTTTTTATACTCCTTCACCTCTTGGAATTTGTGACTATTGAAATTTACTTTCTACTCTGAAAAAGTGTTTCCTTTCATTTGGCTAAAACTACTTTAAAAGGAATGTCCAGGGTACTTCATGATTTTTATTCTGGGAGTAGATAAACAATTCCACTCTGATTCCCTAGACACTTCAATTTTCCTGAAACACTCAGGGAATTGTGTGAAGATCAAAAGATGGAAACCACGGGGGCCTGGGCCCTGGCAACGACTCTGGCCACTTACTGTTTCAGGGCCTCAATTCTGTCCTCTTCATTCTGCTTCTCCAGGGCGTCCATCCATTCTTCAAACAGGTCACATGAAAGTAGCTTCAGTGGGATACTTCTGAGGAAGTCCTGGAGGATGAAAAGTGAATGGTTTGGCCTGGTTACATTATATAATGTGCTGGCATCTTTGTCTTCCCCTTGTCTGATCCAGCTCAGGGGCCCTCTGATCATCCTACCATAGGCTGCACCCCCTTCCTTCCTGCATTTGATTGATCTAGGGAAATCTCAGCAACTTGCTAACAATGGACAGAGTAAGGCCATCATCTGAGATGCTACCAGCTTAATAAGCATGGACTTGGCATTTCCTCATCAGAATTTAATGTATCATTTTCTGTTGGAATCTGAGATCAGAGACACAGAAGTGTTTATATAAGAAGATAAAAGGCTTAACTAAAAAAACTTAAATTCCAAGGTCAGTTTACTTTGATTTGTTGGGAGAAGAGCCATTTCTTATTTTCTGAGACTTAACATCACTGGAGATTATTTGGTAGCAATGCTATGAACTCACCTTAAAGATTGCAGCCAGGAGGTGCACGGGGAGACTTTTCAGATCTACCATGCCTCCCGAGTTGAGATCTTCCTTTAGCTCTTTGCGGGCTTTCTCATTGGCTGCTTTCCTGAATATCCCTTCGGTGGAAGGTCCTTTAAGGCACAGAATAGTGAGAATATCCTGTTGGAAAGAGAGGTAGGAATAGGAAAAGGTTACCCTTACTTTGAATAGGAAACCATGTGCTGCTACTACTACATGAAAAATCTATGCTTAGGTATTAAAACGGTGCATAGAAATAGTGGCAAACTTCATCCATCATAGAGCATCCTCTCCATAAAAGTTAGTTCTCCATGATACCAACATGGTCTTAACAAGAGATCATGAATGCCATTTTTTATAGCCCCATTTCTATCAACTGTTTCCCTCAACTCTCCTGTTTTTCTAAGAGGAGGTAACTTGGGAAAGTTCTAATTTTGTACATTCTAAAATTATTTCAGGCCTCTCTCCTTTCAAGCCATTCCATATAAACACTGGATTTCTGATCATGACTTTTCAGAAGCTACACATTTTTAGCACTCTTAACTCCATGAAATCAGGAGGATGGAGGGATGGAGGGCAAGCATAATTAATTTCTAGACTGTCAGCAGCCAGGTAGTCTCCTGACTGCACTCATATATGGAAACACCATTTCCAAAAGTGGAAAAAAACTGGATTGGCCCCAGCGAGTTTAGCATGAGAATGATATTTAGAGCTCCCAGGGATTTTTCACATCTGACAAAAACCTGAAGAAGGTTTTGGAGTACACGCACACCTACCTGAATGGGTCTGGGGAGTGTGTCGTCCTCACCACAGATGATTGACAAGGGCTGATCAAATAGTGGCACTTTCAATTCTGGTTCTGAAGCCCCGGGAAAATCTGACACAGTAGAAAGCCTTCTCATGAGAAATGGCCAAGACAACACCTTCTTTCTCTTCTTAATTTCTGCAGCCAAGAAAATAAGGCAAGAGAAAAATTAGATTAACTTATTAATAAAGATCCATATATGACAATGGATAGTATCACCCACATGGTATGCCATGGGGGTGGGGGACAGATAATTTTAAAAAACAGAAAGCAAAGTGTGTGAATTTTAATCTACAAAAATGAACCCAAAAATATGGTTCATGGTTACCGGAGCAACCAGCCCCTAAATATCAACACCAAGGTTCCTCAAAGTCTCCACCTTTCCTGTTTTTACTCTTTAGTGGCTGTTTGCAGAAAATCAGCAAAACCTAGCTGAGCCGATCACAAACAACCATCTCAATATACTGACCTTAATAACTGTGGTAGGTATTTCTGATGCAAAATAGATTATTTTAATTTTCTCCTTTGACTGATGGAGAAAGCAAAACTTAAAAGGAGAGGAAGTAACTTGCTCAAGATCTTTTTTTTTTTTAAACTGAAGTATGGTTGACATAGAATGTTACATTAGTTTCAGTGATGATAGGAAACAGTATGGGGTTTCCTCAAAAAATAAAAATAGAAATATTATATGACCCAGTAATTTTACTGCTAGGTTTTAGCCAAAGAAAAAGGAAAACAATTCAAAAAATTATATGCACAACTATGATTATTGCAGCATTATTTACAATAGCCAAGATTTGGAAGCAATAGAAGAGTCCATCGGTAGATGAATGAATAAAGATGTCTATAAACACAGCAGAATATTATTGAGCCACAGAAGAGAATAGAATCTTGCTCAGGATCATCCTGGTGAGGTCCTTAGCGGGGCCAACCAGTACGCCTTTGCAGCCGCACTAGCATCAAGCAGCCACTAGAGAGAGCTACACCGGTCAGTCTGCAGCCCCCTGCAGGATTTCCCCTGTGGCTGCTGGAGGACAAGGCTGACACAAATTCCTGTGTGAAGGCTTGCAGCGAGACCAGGCAGTTGGGAATTATCAGTAAAACATGAGCAAGAGGTTCTATCTTTGCAAAACCCTGAACAAGTGTGTGCAAGGGGCATCGCATCTCACGTGTCCTTATTTTTTTTATTCTCCCTTTATTTGCCTTATTTCCCCCTAAATATCAAAGCTGTATTTTCTTTATTCTTTTTTTTTTAAGAATTTATTTATTCATGAGAGACACAGAGAGAGAGAGGCAGAGACACAGGCAGAGGGAGAAGCAAGTTCCATGTAGGGAGCCTGATGTGGGACTTGATCCCGGGACTCTAGGATCACACCCTGGGCCAGTGGCAGGCGCTAAACCGCTGAGCCACCCAGGGATCCCCCAAAGCTGTATTTTTTAAGTGCATTGCTGTGTGTTTCTACCCTAGCAAGTGGAAGAGGATGCAGAGAGACGTGGCTTGTCCTTAAAGTTTGGGAGACCTGGGTCGCGGTTATGTAATAAGACATACATTATGGAAACAGTGAAGAGTGAACAGTAGGATTCTTGGGAATTTGAGATTAGGAACAATTGCCTCATGGGTTCCTACATTCATTCTTCATGAGAGAGAAGAAAGAAAGGGAGAAGGAACTCTTTTTCATATGTATGCTTGCTTTAATGGACAAAACAGAAGTGGCTCAGAGATCTGACCCCACCAAAAACTCCTCAGAGAACTGGAGGGTTGGCTGTAGAGAGGATCTGTTCTGTCAGAGAGACCTGGTGCCCACAGAGCTAGAGTCTGCCTGCCATTTAAGTGTTAATGTTCTGCGGTCTTTAAAAGAACACTTAAAAAAAAGAATTCCTAGTAGAGTAAAGTACTGTGGTTTTGTAAACCAAGAACATTTGCTGTTACCATTTACATAAAAGACCAGTATGTTTTCAAAACTCACCAATTAGCTGGCAAATGTTATCTTCACTCTCACATGATGCCAACAGAGGATGTTCCTTGATATCACCCTAAAAAAATATTTATTTTAGTTAAAAACGTTTGAAGAGATCTACCCAGTCTTAACTCACAAAATACACTTAGAACATTTTACTCATATTAAAAATTAGTCAAATCCAATGATTTTTTTTCTAGCTTCTAGAATCAATAATAAAGTCTTGATTATCATCATATAAGGTCCCAAATAATGTTTTTAACGAGCTACACTTAGGATGTTAATTTTCTACTCTGATAATTACATAATTGAAAATATTCCATGAAAACAAAGTTTTCCATGTTCTTATAGTGCAGATGAAAAGTTTTTAAAATTGCTCTCACCTCTGACTGACATTCAATCAGTGTCTCCATATTATTGGCATTTAGTGTTTTTGACTGAAAGAGAAAAAATTAAATTAGGTAAAGATCGTTTGACTCTTACCCTGGAAACTGAATTATGTTATATAAGAGGGGTACGTACAACATTGCAGCTGCTTATCAACTTCATTAGAGTTGAGCTGACTGTCCAGGGATGAATTTTGCTCCCATGGGGCCTTGGCTCTGCCTGCAAGAAGTCGTATGGGAGAGAGGGAGGAGGAGGGAGACACATGATAAATTGGCGAATTTCAGTGCCAAAACACAAAGTCTGAAACTATTAGAAAAATTTTCACTTAAAGTCTGTGATATGTTACCAGATGTCTTCGGCTATTAAGAACAGCACCTGAACACACTTATTTCTAAATTATTTAAACCTAATATCTTCACCATGCCGAACTTTGTTATTCATCTAGTGCCGTCCCATCAAGAGATAATCTAACAATCACACGGTAACTAATGTTTTCGGGATTGGGGAGGGGGGGAAGCTTACTATGTGTCAGGTACTGTATTATGTGCTCTGCAAGGATTAGCTCCTCTTACCCCCAGAGGAAAAAAAAACTTATACTCAGGGTGCTACTTGCAGTAAACATAAAACAAAGTTAACATTGACAGAATTCCTTTACCGAAAGAGTGCAGGCTTCACACTGAAGGAGAGCTTTTGGGGCTCAGAGTCTTTATAACCTTATTTGCTGCATGTTTAGGGGTACAGCTGTTTTCTCTTGGAGGTGCTCTCAAAGACCAGTGATTTGCTAGCTAGCTAATTTCCCAGTTGTGTTATTTTATGGTACTTACCCTCGGGGAGCCTCCAGCCAGCGTTCTCTTATCTCCGGGGAACCGTGCAAAATGGGAGAAACAGTGAAACACTCTGCTCCTACTAATCCACCGGTAGAGGAAGACTGAACTGCTCTAACTTCACGTGTTCTGCATTATAAACGAGAGGGGGCGGGCAGGTGGAAATTCAGAATATTACTGAGACCGGAAAGAACATCATGGGTTGTCACCCAGACATAGCCAGCCAGACACTGGGGAGCTCTCACTTCCTCATTCCTTTTAGGGCAGCTCTGGTTCTTTTTCTTTTTCTAACACTTCAAAGTAAAAAAAAAAAAAAAATCTATAAACTACTAAGGGTGGAAAAGATGACATATGGCCCATAGGTGAAGGCTCTGATTAATGTCACAGGTGGGATGTATGAATAAGAAATTGTGTTATTCTGTAATAAACATAATTTTATTTTGTAAAGTGGTGATTTCAGGTGTGCTTGTTTTGTATCCTGTTTGGGTGCTGTCTCCCTTTCCACCCACCATCTACTCTGTTCATCAGTCACCAGACATTGACTGGCACCCTCTGGGTGCGGGATGCTGTTCCTATAAGAAGCCCAGACATGCTGCCTTATTTGAGAAATGTCCCCATCACTTTCCTTTGAAATTAGGAAGAATCCACTAAAGCCAACTGCCAACATATTAACCACCCCCTTCTCCTTTCCCTAACTCTTAGTCAAAATTGTTAATACTTAATTTGTGGTTAGACCATCTCTAATCCTGACACGGAAGGAAGACCAAAAATTCCTTTGATCAGACCAATTTCAGGTAGAAAGGAAATGGTGAATTTCATATGTGGATCCTTCTGGATATGAGAAAATCTTTGGTCTTTTCTGTATCTAAAAGGCTATATATAAAATGACTCAAAAACCTCAGGAGCAGAATGTGACACCCATTGTGACATGTTCACACAGTGAAGTGTTCCATAGCCCTGAGAATGCATAGTCTTTAGCTATATCCAACAGTGTGGTTGGGTCTCACAATGTAATGTTGCGCTGAAGAAGCCAGACACAAGAAAGTATATCTTGCATGCAGTCATCTAAGCTGATAGGAGCCAATCTGTGCCATGATAGATAGCAGCATCCCCTGGGGTGGGTAGTAACCACTGGGGGCCAGAGAAGGTTTTGTAGTGATCTAACTCTTGATCTGGACACTGATAATCTTATGTTCACATTTCTGTATGTATGTTTTCTTCAACAAAAAATTAAAACTACCTTGTCTTAATTCATCATCAGAAGGCTTTAATTCCAAGACTTTTTCCATATTGATAGCTGTATTCTTTATACCAAAAGAGAGTCATAATTAGGCATTCCTCGGGAAACTGAAGCACAGAACTGTTAAAATTTGTCCCCTCAATTTCGGTGAGTGGCATTCAGGCTTCCAGCTGGAGGCTCCCTCTCCGAAAACTGCCACAGAGCCGAGTTTACAACAGTGCTCCTGCAGAGTCTGTGCACATTACTGCCTTTCATCCTCCCTCCTGCCTTTACAAACCTTCAAAATGACTCATTGACTTTTTTTTATTATCAAAAAGGGCATATATGCTGAACCTAGCCTAGAGAAGGCATGTAGTAGATACTCAGTAAATAGTTTCTGAATAAATACATTTACATATAGTCATTCTTTGTGCTAACACGTATTTCATGAACTTTTTTTTCATTTGGCATACTTTTTGGTTTTTTTCTAAGAAACTTAATGTATGTACTGCTCTGACAACTAATGCATTGATCCTTAATCTCAATATTTCAAATGAAGACCATAGTTTTTTTCTTCTACTTAAGCACTGTACCCCACAATGTATGTTCTTTTTTTTTTTATAAATTAATTTTTATTGGTGTTCAATTTACCAACATACAGAATAACACCCAGTGCTCATCCCGTCAGGTGTCCCCCTCCGTGCCCGTCACCCATTCACCCCCACCCCCCACCCTCCTCCCCTTCCACCACCCCTAGTTCATTTCCCAGAGTTAGAAGTCTTTATGTTCTGTGTCCCTTTCTGATATCTCCCACACATTTCTTCTCCCTTCCCTTATATTCCCCTTCACTATTATTCATATTCCCCAAATGAGTGAGAACATACACTGTTTGTCCTTCTCCGATTGACTTACTTCACTCAGCATAATACCCTCCAGTTCCATCCACGTTGAAGCAAATGGTGGGTATTTGTTGTTTCTAATGGCTGAGTAATATTCCATTGTATACATAAACCACATCTTCTTTATCCATTCATCTTTCGATGGGCACCGAGGCTCCTTCCACAGTTTGGCTATTGTGGACATGGCTGCTAGAAACATCGGGGTGCAGGTGCCCCGGCGTTTCATTGCATCTGAATCTTCGGGGTAAATCCCTAACAGTGCAATTGCTGGGTCGTAGGGCAGGTCTATTTTTAATTCTTTGAGGAACCTCCACACAGTTTTCCAGAGTGGCTGCACCAGTTCACATTCCCACCAACAGTGTAAGAGGGTTCCCTTTTCTCCGCATCCTCTCCAACATTTGTTGTTTCCTGCCTTATTAATTTTCCCCATTCTCACTGGTGTGAGGTGGTATCTCATTGTGGTTTTGATTTGTATTTCCCTGATGGCAAGTGATGCAGAGCATTTTCTCATGTGCATGTTGGCCATGTCTATGTCTTCCTCTGTGAGATTTCTCTTCATGTCTTTTGCCCATTTCATGATTGGATTGTTTGTTTCTTTGGTGTTGAGTTTAATAAGTTCTTTATAGATTTTGGAAACTAGCCCTTTATCTGATATGTTATTTGCAAATATCTTCTCCCATTCTGTAGGTTGTCTTTGAGTTTTGTTGACTGTATCCTTTGCTGTGCAAAAGCTTCTTATCTTGATGAAGTCCCAATAGTTCATTTTTGCTTTTGTTTCTTTTGTTTTCGTGGATGTATCTTGCAAGAAGTTACTGTGGCCAAGTTCAAAAAGGGTGTTGCCTGTGTTCTCCTCTAGGATTTTGATGGAACTTTCCTCGATATCTTAAAAGCCATCTACGAAAAGCCCACAGCAAATATCATTCTCAATGGGGAAGCACTGGGAGCCTTTCCCCTAAGATCAGGAACCAGACAGGGATGTCCACTCTCACCACTGCTATTCAACATAGTATTGGAAGTCCTAGCCTCAGCAATCAGACAACAAAAAGACATTAAAGGCATTCAAATTGGCAAAGAAGAAGTCAAACTCTCCCTCTTCGCCGATGACATGATACTCTACATAGAAAACCCAAAAGCCTCCACCCCAAGATTGCTAGAACTCATACAGCAATTTGGTAGCGTGGCAGGATACAAAATCAATGCCCAGAAATCAATGGCATTCCTATACACTAACAATGAGACTGAAGAAAGAGAAATTAAGGAGTCAATCCCATTTACAATTGCACCCAAAAGCATAAGATACCTAGGAATAAACCTAACCAAAGAGGTAAAGGATCTATACCCTAAAAACTATAGAACACTTCTGAAAGAAATTGAGGAAGACACAAAGAGATGGAAAAATATTCCATGCTCATGGATTGGCAGAATTAATATTGTGAAAATGTCAATGCTACCCAGGGCAATTTACACGTTCAATGCAATCCCTATCAAAATACCATGGACTTTTTTCAGAGACTTAGAACAAATTATTTTAAGATTTGTGTGGAATCAGAAAAGACCCCGAATAGCCAGGGGAATTTTAAAAAAGAAAACCATAGCTGGGGGCATCACAATGCCAGATTTCAGGTTGTACTACAAAGCTGTGATCATCAAGACAGTGTGGTACTGGCACAAAAACAGACACATAGACCAATGGAACAGAATAGAGAATCCAGAAATGGACCCTGAACTTTATGGTCAACTAATATTCGACAAAGGAGGAAAGACGATCCACTGGAAGAAAGACAGTCTCTTCAATAAATGGTGCTGGGAAAATTGGACATCCACATGCAGAAGAATGAAACTAGACCACTCTCTTGCACCATACACAAAGATAAACTCAAAATGGATGAAAGATTTAAATGTGAGACAAGACTCCATCAAAATCCACAATGTATGTTCTACTAGTGGTTTAAAAACTGTTTTTGTTTTGCCATACAATTATATATTCAAAAGAAGATGAACCTAGAATCCTTATATATAAAATCTAAAAAAAAATTTTTAAGGGTTGTCTGGGTGACTTGGTTAAGTGTCCAACTCTTGATTTTGGTTCTGGTCATGATTTCAGGGTCTTGGAACAAGCTCCACTTGGGCTCTGTGTTCATTGAGGAGTCTGGGATTCTTTTCCTCTCTCTGCTCCGACATCTTCCCCAAATAAATAAATAAATAAATAAATAAATAAATAAATAAATCTTAATCTTTTTTTTAACTATTTGCATCTAGTGGGAGAAAAAGGGGGAAGGTATAGGCATAGGCCATTTTACCTCTTTTCCTGATGAGCCCGAGCTGTGGGGCCTTTAGGAGACTCGAAAACTCACAGGTTTGGTCTGTATCAAGCAATTCTCAGAGTATATGCAGGGAGCCCCAGGGGTGCTTGAGACCCTTTCAAGAGGGTCCATGAAATTAGAACTATTTTATAATAATATTTGCCTTTTTGACTCTATTCTCTCAAGAGTATACAGTGGGGTTTTCCAGAAGCTACATGATGAGAGATATTCTGATACAATGGGAATGCAAGCTTGCATTTCTTTTGTTTTAAAATTTTCTCAGCTTTAATTTCTCCCAGGGTGCATATTGGTAAATATAGCTGGCATAAATTAAATTTCTTTAGACTTGTCAATGATTATGAGAAGGGTTCCTGAAACCAAAGAGTTTGAGAACTGCTGATCTACATCACATCTGTGCACATGAGAAAGTTTCTTTTTTTTTTTTGTATATTTTTTATTGGAGTTTGATTTGCCAACATATAGTATAACACCCAGTATTCATCCCGTCAAGTGCCTCCCTCAGTGCCTGTCTCCCAGTCGCCCCATCCCCCCACCCACCTCCCCTTCCACTACCCCTTATTCGTTTCCCAGAGTTAGGAGTCTCTCCATGAGAAAGTTTCTGATACTTGTGGTGCATCATTACCTCTCCTCATGGATGCAGCCATTTTTGAGGAATCTGAAATTACTCTATTTTCCATTTTAACCAACCGAGCCACTCAGGTGTTCCAGTATGGAAGAGCATTTCTAAAGCCCCAAGCGTTGGTACCTTTTTCTTTGATTCTGTATACTTTTTTTTTTTTTAGATTTATTTATTTAAGAGAGAGAGAAGAGAACGCACAAACAGGTGGAGGGGCAAAGGAAGAGGGGGAGAGAGAGAGAGAGAGAGAGAGAGAGAGAATCTCAGGCCAACTCCCCACTGAGTGCAAAGGCTGGTGGGGGCTTGATACCATGACCCTGAGATCATGACCAGAACCAAAATTAAGAGTCAGATGCTCAACTGACTGAGCCACACAATCGCTCCTCTGAGTCCTTCTAATGATACAAATGTCCCTCACTATAAAATCAGCCATCAAAATATGACAGTGGAGAAAAATGAGGAAGTCAGTTGGATATAAGAAAAGTACTATTTCTCCTTGGATATGTAATCCCAAAATTTTTTGTATTAAAAAAAATCTTTATTCAGCTTTTAACCATCAATGGGCCCCAACAAACATTTTTAAAACATTTTTAAAACTCATGATCCCAAGATCAAGAGTCAAGTTCTCCACCAGCTGAGCCAGCCAAGTACCCCCACCAAAGCTTTTTGAATTTTTAAGATTTGATTGTTATTGGCATACTGTTTTTTTTATTATGTAGAGA